ATTACGAACACCATTTCGAAAAGTTTCGGTGAATTTTATGCTGATTTTTTAAAAAAATTCATGACCCCGGACCTGCAAAAATGTTGAAAAATCTTGAAATTTCGCAAAAAAAATATTTTACTCCAAACGACCTAAAAAGCTTCAAGATACTTTCTGAACACCATTTCGGGTCATTTCAGTGAAATTTATGCTGATTTTTTGAAAATAAGGACTTTGTAATTTTTGAAAAAATTCATGACCCCGGACCTGCAAAAAAGTTGAAAAATCTTGAAATTTTTAAAAAAATTTTTTTTACTCGAAACAACCTAAGAAGCCTCAAGATACGTTCTGAACGCCATTTCGGGTCGTTTCGGTGAAATTTATGCTGATTTTTTGAAAAAAAGGACTAAGTGATTTTGAAAAAATTCATGACCCCGAACCTGCAAAAAAATTGAAAAATCTTGATATTTTTCAAATAATTCTTTTTACTCGAAACAACCTAAAAAGCGGCAAGATACGTTCTGAACGCCATTGCGGGTCGTTTCGGTCAAATTTATGCTGATTTTAGGAAAATAAGGACTCAGTGATTTTTTAAAAAATTCATGACCCCCGCACCTGCAAAAAGTTAAAAATATTTAAATTTTTTCATAAAATTTTTTTTACTCGAAACAACCTGAAAAGCCGCAAGATACGTTCTGAACGCCATTTCGGGTCGTTTTGGTTAAATTTATGCTGATTTTTTGAAAATAAGGAGTTGGTGATTTTTGAAAAAATTCATGACCCTGGACCTGTAAAAAAGTTGAAAGACCTTGAAATTTTTAAAAATTTTTTTTTTACTCGAAACAACCTGAAAAGCCGCAAGATACGTTTTGAACGCCATTTCGGGTCGTTTTTAATAAATTTATGCTGATTTTGAGAAAATAAGGAATTTGTGATTTTTGAAAAAATTCATGACCCCGGACCTGCTAAAAAGTTGAAAAATCTTGAAATTTTCAAAAAATTTTTTTTACTTGAAACAACCTAAAAAGCCGCAAGATACGTTCTGAACACCATTTCGGGTCTTTTCGGTGAAATTTTTGCTGATTTTTTGAAAATAAGGAGTTGGTGATTTTTGAAAAAATTCATGACCTTAGACCTGCAAAAAAGTTGAAAGACCTTGAAATTTTTACAAAAATTTTTTTATCCGAAACAACCTGAAAAGCTGCAAGATACGTTCTGAACGCCATTTTGGGTCGTTTCGGTGAAATTTATGCTGATTTTTTGAAAATAAGGAGTTGGTGATTTTTGAAAAAATTCATGACCCCGGACCTGCAAAAAAGTTGAAAAACCTTGAAATTTTTAAAAAAAATCGTTTTACTCGAAACAACCTAAAAAGCCACAAGATACGTTCTGAACGCCATTTCGGGTCTTTTCGGTGAAATTTATGCTGATTTTAGGAAAATAAGGACTTTGTGATTTTTGAAAAAATTCATGACCCCGGACCTGCAAAAAAGTTGAAAGACCTTGAAATTTTTACAAAAATTTTTTTTACTCGAAACAACCAGAAAAGCCGCAAGATACGTTCTGAACGCCATTTCAGGTCGTTTTGGTTAAATTTAGGCTGATTTTAGGAAAATAAGGACTTTGTAATTTTTGAAAAAATTCAAGACCCCGGACCTGCAAAAAAGTTGAAAAATCTTGAAATTTTTCAAAAATTTTTTTTTACTCGAAACTACCTAAAAAGCCGCAAGATACGTTTTGAACGCAATTTCGGGAATTTTCGGTGAAATTTATGCTGATTTTTGGAAAATAAGGACTCAGTGATTTTTTAAAAAAATCATGACCCCCGCACCTGCAAAAAGTTAAAAATATTTAAATTTTTTCAAAAAAAATTTTTATGAGAAACAATATAAAGCTTAAAATTTTACCTTTCTGAAATCATTTCTAGACAGCTGGTTGAGCCTCCAAGTGGTATCTGAAAATGGTAGGAAAGGGTATTTATAGCATGTTTCACATTGAAACTTGAAAAAATCTCAAAATATGTGAACTTTGTAAAAAAAATATTTCTAGAAATAACGTCAAAAGCCTTAATTTATGTTTGGAACACCATTTCGGGTAGTTTCAGGGAATATTATGCACATATTTACAAAATAAGGGCTTAGTGATTTTTGAAAAAATTCATGACCCGGGCCTGCAAAAAGGTTGACAAATCTTGAAATTTTTGAAAAAAATTTTTTTACTCGAAACAACCTGAAAAGCCGCAAGATACGTTCTGAACGCCATTTTGGGTCGTTTCGGTGAAATTTATGCTGATTTTTTGAAAATAAGGAGTTGGTGATTTTTGAAAAAATTCATGACCTCAGACCTGCAAAAAAGTTGAAAAATCTTAAAATTTTTAAAAAATTTTTTTTTACTCGAAACAACCTGAAGAGCCGCAAGATACGTTCTGAACGCCATTTCGGGTCGTTTCGGTGAAATCTATGCTGATTTTTTGAAAATAAGGAGTTGGTGATTTTTGAAAAAATTCATGACCCCGGACCTGCAAAAAAGTTGAAAAACCTTGAAATTTTTCAAAAATTTTTTTTACTCGAAACAACATAAAAAGCCTCAAGATAAGCTCTGAACGCCATTTCGGGTCGTTTTGGTGAAATTTATGCTGATTTTTTGAAAATAAGGAGTTGGTGATTTTTGAAAAAATTCATGACCCCGGACCTGCAAAAAAGTTGAAAAATCTTGAAATTTTTCAAAAAATTTTTTTTTACTCGAAACAACCTAAAAAGCCTCAAGATACGTTTTGAACGCCATTTCGGGTTGTTTCGGAGAAAATTATGCTGATTTTTTGAAAAAAATTATCACCCCGGACCTGCAAAAAAGTTGAAAAATCTTGAAATTTTTAAAAAAATTTTTTTTACTCGAAACAACCTGAAAAGCCGCAAGATACGTTCTGAACGCCATTTCGGGCCGTTTCGGTGAAATTTATGCTGATTTTTTGAAAATAAGGAGTTGGTGATTTTTGAAAAAATTCATGACCCCGGACCTGCAAAAAAGTTGAAAAATCTTGAAATTTTTCAAAAAATTTTCTTTTACTCGAAACAACCTAAAAAGCCGGAAGATACGTTCTGAACGCCATTTCGGGTCGTTTCAGTGAAAATTATGCTGATTTTTTGAAAAAAAAAGGGTTGGTGATGTTTGAAAAAATTTATGACCCCGGACTTGCAAAAAAGTTGAAAAATCCTGGAATTTTTCAAAAAAATTTTTTTACTCAAAACAACCTAAAAAGCCGCAAGATACGTTCTGAACGCCATTTCAGGTCGTTTCGGTGAAATTTATGCTGATCTTTTGAAAATAAGGACTTTGTGATTTTTGAAAAAAATCATGACCCCGGACCTGCAAAAAAACTGAAAAATCTTGAAATTTTTCAAAAATCTTTTCTTACTCGAAACATCCTAAAAAGCCTCAAGATACGTTCTGAACGCGATTTCGGGTCTTTTCGGTGAAATTTATGATGATTTTAGGAAAATAAGGACTTTGTGATTTTTGAAAAAATTCTTGACCCCGGATCTGCAAAAAAGTTGAAAAACCTTGAAATTTTTCAAAAATTTTTTTTACTCGAAACAACCTAAAATGCCTCAAGATACGTTCTGAACGCCATTTCGGGTCGTTTCGGTGAAATTTATGCTGATTTTTTGAAAATAAGGAGTTGGTGATTTTTGAAAAAATTCATGACCCCAGACCTGCAAAAAAGTTTAAAAACCTTGAAACTTTTCAAAAATTTTTTTTTACTCAAAACAACCTAAAATGCCTCAAGATACGTTCTGAACGCCATTTCGGGTCGTTTTGGTGAAATTTATGCTGATTTTTTGAAAACAAGGACTTTGTGATTTTTGAAAAAAGTCATGACCCCGGACCTGCAAAAAAGTTGAAAAATCCTGAAATTTTTCAAAAAATTTTTTTTACTCGAAACAATTTAAAAAGCCTCAAGACACGTTCTGAACGCCATTTCGGTTGTTTTGGTGAAATTTATGCTGATTTTTTGAAAAAAAAGGGTTGGTGATTTTTGAAAAAAT